CTTGGGAAAGTCACTCAGCCTCTCTTGGCCTCGTTTCCCCATCTGTAAAATGGGGATAATAGTACCTTCCTACATTAAAGGTGCTATATTGTTGGGCTAACTACATTAAAGATTGTGAGATGCTCAGATTCAACAGGAATGGGGGGGCACATAATTATATAAGATAGATAAGACACAGACCCACTAGAAGAAGTGAAAAACTGGAGAGAGAAGCAGGAAAAAAGATTCAATAGAAGAAACACAAAGGAGAACTAGATAATAGAAGAGAAGTATATACCAGATCCTTGCCCACCTAGATGCACACTATTGTGACAACTGTGAGATCTTTCCATCTCACACATCAGTAGTACTAGAGGGCCTACAAGCCAAGTTATAGCCTTAGCTACACTTGTGCGTACTCCCTGTCTCAGATTATGCTTTAAGTGTCACCTGTATAAACAAACTGATAGTTAATGGGGTTAAACAAGCTATCTCTCAGGGCATAATCCTAAAACAATGAGGTTGCATAGCTATCACTGAAAGCATAATCTGAACACCAATTAAAAAGTGGCAAATTCAAGAGTGATTAAATACTTTTTCATACAATCCATAGATTGTGGAGCTCATGGCTGCAGGAAATAATTGAAGCTAAGAATTTAGCAAGATTCAAAAAGGGTGTGAAGATATACATGGATAAGATGAATATCCAGAGTTATTAGTTGATACTAACAAATTTTGGAAGGGATGTTAAACGTCATGCTTCAGGGTTTAAACCCATCTTTAACTGTTAGAGATCAGGATGAGACCTAAAGTCGAATAATCTTCCCTTCATATCTACCCACTGCAGGATTCTTATACTTACCTCTGAAGCAACAGGTGCTGGCCACTGTTGGAGACTGTGATGAAGTATATACCCTATCCTGGTTCTGAAAGGGTTAGTGTCAACCTGAGAGGCCAATTAACCCATGTGATTGCACGTGGAGGTGGGCCAGCCCCATTAAAGATTAGTTCCAGCTGGTAAAGCTCAGTGATGACAATAAAGAAAGGACATCAGTAGCAGAAGGTTGGTGAGGACTAGGCTGGAGGTAGTAAAGCCTTGGACCAGACTGATTGTCCTGAGTCAGGAGGAAGTGAAGCCCAGAAGGTAGTGATGGTAAAGCCTAAGAGGCATTTGGATGACGTTTGAGGGGCTACAGGGAGAGAGTGAATAACTCTGACTCTCTGGGGCTAAAGAGTGGCGAGACTGGGAGAGTCAAGGAGGAAGCCCAGATGAAGAGCTGGCCCCGGGATCCTCTCCTAAGTAGAGAAGCCAAGCAGAAGGCTAGGAGATACCTAGAGTAGCCACTAGGGGTGTAGCAGATGCTGGTTGTGAGGAGCCCTGATAAAAAGGCAGGATTTAGACTTCCAGGAAGAGAGCCCTGGGAGGCCTTTGGTGGAGGAAGAGAGCAAGACAAACTTAAAAGGAAAGACAGGTCAAATCTGAGGAGGGCGGAATTTGGCTTAAATTTATACCTTCAGTTGGAGATTTGTTGGGGGATTCCAGAGGGTAACCTGCCCCTGAAAGAGGGGTGAATTTAGAGAGACTATGGAAGAAGCCTACTGACCGGCTATGGTAGGAAGAAGTCCAGGGAGACAGAAGCAAGGAGTCTTAAGGAGCAGACCTGGGGTGCTGGTTATCGGGTCCCTAGACTGGAAACCAGTGCAGTCGGCAAGCCTGGATTCCCTTACCAGCCACAGATAAGATGGTGTGACACCACTGAGAAAGGGATATGGACGACTGGCAGCCCTGAGAAAAGGGTGTATGGACCACTGGGTGGCAGACCACACAGAGGGATGAGACATTTGTTTTTGTTGGACTTTCTGTTACCACAAAAAGAGCAGTCTAAACATGTCCTGGTCAAAGGGCTGAGTCCTGCAAAGCAGCAGACCACCACAGGACTGAAGTAGCCATCAGCAGGGGGCACTAGAAGAAGAAAGCTGGATATGTCACACCAAGCTGTGAGGAGACATGCCAGCCGCGAGTCAACTCTTCCACAGAGACATATTGGAGTAGATAAACCTTGAGTCTGATCCAGTATGGCAATTCGATGTGGATGCAGAAGTGTAACTGAGATAATAATTTGGCATGCACACCCTCTGTCCCAGTTCAGGGCAACTGCACCTGTATTTCCCCTTCCATTGTCCACCTAGGGCAACAACTCTAGGCTCTCAGCTCCTCAGCTGTCACCTCTTGGGTGCCTCTCTCCCTCCTGACCAGGGTTTTTCCAGGCTGCAGTTTTCTGCATATGCTGTGATATTCCCAGCAAGCCAGACAGCCTCAGAAAGGGATGCATGGTAACTTGTAACTGCTGGCAGTTAAAGTCGTTCATGGCCTCTGGAGAGAAAGCAAAGTATCTTAGGTGATGTCTACACTAAGACGGTAAGTTGGCCTATGCTACGCAACTCCAGCTACGTTATTCATGTAGCTGGAATCGACGTACCATAGGTCGAGTTATCGCAGGATCTACACTGCAGGGGGTCAATGGGAGAGTTTCTCCTGTTGACTTACCTTACTCTTCTCATCGGGGTAGAGTACAGGGGTCGACTGGAGAGTGATCTGCTGTCAATCTGGTGGGTGTTCACTAGACCCACTAAATTGACCACCGGTAGATCAATCTCAGAGCATCGATCCTGGCTGTAGTGTAGATATACACAAGTATTCTTAAGGTGAAAGCTTTACCGAGAAAACATACACCCAAACTCCAACAAGGGCTTTGGTACTGGTCGGAGTCAGTCCTTCACACCCCACAAAGGGGGTTTTCTGTGGTTACACATTGGTGACAGCCTTAGCACAGAACTAGCACAGCCATGAATCTTTCCTTTATACAGCTTGGGCCTTTGATCTTGAGACTGCACAACAGGTAATCAGAAGACAATGGTCCTCTCCTCAGGATGTAGTTTCAAAAAGCTGGGTTTTTGCATAACCAGTGTAAGAATGGCTGGATCCAATGAGTCCATCTAGCCCACTATCCTGTCTGACAGTGGCTACTGCTAGATGCTTCAGAGAGAATGAAGAAAATAAGGCAATTTCAAGTAATCCATCCCTGGTCATCCAGTCCCAGCTTCCGGCAGTTAGAGGTTTAGAAACATCTGGAGCATAGGGTTGCATCCCTGACCATCTTGGCCGAGAGCTATGGCCCTACCAAATTCACGGCAGTGAAAAACATGTCACGGACCATGAAATCAGATCTCCCCCATAAAATCTAGCTATTGGAGGGACAGGGCTGGGGGCGTCCCAGCCAGGGGCTCCTACCATTCACTAGGCTCCAGCTGCTATCCGCCAGGCTGGGGAGGGACGGGACTTCCTCTTCCCCTGCACAGCTACTCTTGGGGGAAGAAACTGCAGAGCTACAATTGATTTGCAAACTTAACACCATTAATTTGGGCTTGAATAGGGACTGGGAGTGGATGGCTCACTACAAAAGCAATTTTCCCTCTCTTGGTATTGACACCTCCTCATCAATTATTGGGAGTGGACCACATCCATAGGCACCGACTTTGTGCGTGCTCTGGGGCTGGAGCACCCACGGGGAAAAATTAGTGGGTGCTCTGCACCCACCGGCAGCCAAGCTCCCCTCCCCGTCTCACCTCAGCCTCCTCCCCTGGGCACACCACATCCTCGCTTCTCCGCCTACCTCCCAGCGCATGCTGCTGCAAAACAGCTGTTTCGTGGCATAACAAGCTCCGAGGAGGGAGGGGAGAGGAGCGGGAATGTGGCACGCTCAGGAGAGGAGGCGGGGAAGAGACGGGGCTGGGGATTTGGGGAAGGGGTTGGAATAGGGTCAGGGAGGGGGTGGGGACTTTGGGGGAGGGGTTGGAATGGGGGCTGGGCAGGAGTGGGGTAGGAGTGGAGTCAGGGCAGGACCCAGGGCAGAGGGGGGTCAAGCACCCACTGGCGCCAGCAGAAGTTGGCACCTATGACCACATCCACCCTGACTGAATTGGTCCTGTCAACACTAGTTCTCCACTTGTAAGGTAACTCCCTTCTCTTCATGTGCCAGTATATTTATGCCTGTATCTGTAATTTTCACTCCATACATCTGAAGAAGTGGGTTTTTTACCCACGAAAGCTTATGCCCAAATAAATCTGTTAGTCTTTAAGCTGTCTCATTGTTTTTGTGGATACAGACTAACATGGCTACCCCTCTGATAAATAGCAGTATACTCCCACAGCAACCTGGGGTGGCGATGGCATGGGCTAGCAGTTCAGGTATGCACCCAGGGTGACCAGATGTCCCGATTTTGGGGTCTTTTTCTTATGTGCTCCTATTGCCCCCAACCCTTGTCCCAATTTTTCACATTTGCTGTCTGGTTACCCTACCAGAGTCCTTCATGGGGTTGCTTGTACTGAGGAGTTAGCCTGTGCTAACTAGGTTAAAGCTAGCTTGCTATCCACTCAAGCAATCAGCCGGTGAGACTTCATCTTGGTGGATAGCAAGCTAGCTTTAACCTAGCTAGCACAGGCTAACTACCGGAGGGTTAGCACAGTTCAACAACTGCGCCGCCCCCCACGCAGAGGTCTGCTGGCAGGCTCAGAATAATCCAACCCCCACCCCCGTTGGAACCCGATACAAGCGCCTCTGACCCCGCAGCTACAGGTCCTATAGAATGGGCTGACCCGCACTGACAAGGCAGAGGGAGACCCCTGAATTGCAGGAGGGATAGAACATGCCATACGGAACGTTCTAATCCCCTCCAGCACACCTCAGGTGCAAGAGGGAATAGAACAGTCCGCTGCCCTATCCTGCAAGAGGAGTAAAATCCTACCATCCCCGCCTTAAGGGCCCAGCAGAATATTCCAAACACCCGCAGGCGCGGGGGGGGGGGGAAGCGCCCTGGTTCCCTCCTCCCCCGCTAGCAGTGCCCCTGCAACCCTAGAATTCTGGCATCCGGGAAGCTCGTTACGGGAAGCCCCGCCTCCTTCGTGACGTCAGCCCCTTGGCCGGCCCGGGCCAATGGGTGTCCGAGTTGGGTCCGGGAGGCAGACAGTGACCCGTACTGCCCGTACAGGACGGGATCGGGAATATGGTCCAGGCCTGGGCTGACGCCGCTACTTAGCGAATGGGTGAGCGGGACCCGTACTGTGCCTGGGCCGTGGGGGATGCGGCAGGTAGGGCAGGGGCTCCCCAGGAGCGTCAGGGAACTGGGGGGAGGTGGAGTGTCGGTCAGGGCCCGACTGGGGCTGCGTGCGGCTCCTTTCGCCCCGGAGCCCCTTCTCGTACACTCTTCACCACCACCCCCCCGCCCGATAACGTGCTCGGGCTACAGGCCTCACAGTCTCCCCTCCTCCCACCGGGTGTTTCTGTCCGGGTCCCCGGGCCGGCTTTGCTGGGCCCGCTCGGGCCGGCGCGCGCGTTGGGTGAGGCGAGCGTGCTGGTGCGGAGCCAGCAGAGCAGACCCTCCGCAGTGGCCGTTGAGACGGTCCGTTAACGGTCCCCGTGGCGCCGGCGGAGCCGGGAGCAGAGCGGCGGCCCCGTGTGGGGTGGGGTAGGGGGTGTCTGTCTGGCAAGAGCGAGCTCGGCCGCCGCGCTGTCCCGCCAGCTGATCGTGCCCGGAGCTGGAGAGCGCGGCCAGGGCGGGTGGGTGCCTGGTGAACTGAGATAACGGCGTTTTTACTAGTGCTCCCGGCTGCTTTGCCGATGTCCTGACTTCCCGAGCGTGCCCGCACAGGGAGCCGGAGGCTGCAGCCCCGTGGCGCGGGTTTAAAAGGCAACCTGATTGTGCGCTTGCGAGCGTTTTTTTCCTTTCCCCCTACAACTACTTTTTGATTATTCTGGTCCTTCCATCACATTCAGAAAGGCAGACGTGTAATGCTGGAAAGAGGCGGCCTGTAACCTCTTCTACTCCTGTTTATAACCCAATCCCTGACATAAATGAAATGGCATCCTAGTTTGGCACCCAAATACCCTTTAAGATAACTTATGAAAGCAGTATGAATGTTGGCATTAAGGAACAGCCAATAATAAAATGCTTCAAACCACACGGACACATTGTATGCAAGGTGTAATTACGTTAGAGGATTTTTTTATGCTATGTAAGGGTGACCCAGTAGAATGGGAAGCTGGCCCGGGAGTTGCAAGACATTGGTTCTGTTCCCAGTTCTGCTGCTTGCCTGCTGTGTGGCCTTGGGCAAATCAGTTTGCTTCTTTGTACCTGTTTTCCCATATATGAGACGGGATTAGCTGTGCTTTGACTTCCTTTTTAAAGCTCTCTGAGCTCCTCAGAGGAAAAATGCAAGGATAAGAGACAAGTATGATACTTGTTAATATAGGTAACTTTTGAATTGAAATACACTATGATGAGGTTGGGGGGAGAGAATGGAAATTTAAATGTTTTAAAATCTGTAACCAAATCAAGAGAGCACAGAATCAAAAATGGAGACGGATTCCTGGAAGTAAAGTATTAATCAAAAACAAAGCTTCAATATTTAGCTACAAATCTGAAAATAGGAGCTTTTTTTCTCGGGTTATACAGTTTTTCCTTCTACTTATGCAGTACTGTATCTACTTAAAGATAACAGATTTGTATGATTCTACTCTGATGAAATTGGTACTATTGTAATCAACTAGCCTTCTGCCTCCGTCTGTTAAGTCATATGCTTACTTGAATAAATTAAGCTTATACCACTACCTACTCTTCTTAACATTGGAGAGCTAGTACCACCATATGAGAGGGAACTGATTTTTTTTTTTTTTGCCCCCCTTATAAATAAAACTGTTGGATGAGCCCAAAAGAACAAACTTGATTTTCAAATACAAGATTGAATATCTAGGGCTAGTAGATAAAAAAATGTTTTCTATTTGTAAACTGAATAAATTAATCCCTACTGGTGACTTCAAGTTCAAAACGTGTGCTGTTTTTTACATAGTTTAAAGTCTGAAAAGTGACTGCAGTTTTACAGAAAGTTATCTGTATACTACATCTATTATCTCATAGAAAGTGTTGAGATCTGCAGTACAGGGATATAATAGTAGTTCAATTATGTTCCTTAATTTATTGCAAACTAAGATTTAGTGTAATTGACTTCAGTTTGACCAATTTTTAAAGTATTAGTAATCACAGACTTTTTTCATTGTCACTACTGATACTATAGGAAAACATTAGATGAATACAGCAAGTTTCCTTTAAAGGAGCTGAAGGAGACAAACTGAAGAACAGTCTTGTGGTAGAAAAGGCAAAAAACATACTGCTTGATACATATTTGCCACATGTTGATTTGATACTTAAAATGTGAAATGGATTTAAGATTCCACCATGAGGTGTAAGGCGAGTGAGGGGGGGTATGTCTGAGTTCACTGAGAAGTACAATCTATTTGAATATATATTCTTTATAATAATGCCAAGAAAATGTATAGAAAAACAATTTTGCAATAGCATGTAGGAGATTGTCCAGAAAAGTTGAAATGACACTTACATTCTTATTATTTGAGTTGCTGAAAAGTTGACAGAACATTTACATTCTTATTTGAGCAAACAAGGAAAATAGACCACTTTGCTAGTAACGGTAACATAACAGCCTTGTTTCAGAGTAGCAGCTGTGTTAGTCTGTATCCGCAAAAAGAACAGGAGTACTTGTGGCACCTTAGAGACTAACAAATTTATTAGAGCATAAGCTTTCGTGGGCTACAACCCACTTCTTTGGATGCATATTGAGTGAAACATATATTGAGGAGATATATATACACACATACAGAGAGCATGAACAGGTGGGAGTTGTCTTACCAACTCTGAGAGGCCAATTAAGTAAGAGGAAAAAAAACTTTTGAAGTGATAATCAAGATAGCCAAGTACAGACAGTTTGATAAGAAGCAAGTGTGAGAATACTTACAAGGGGAGATAGATTCAATGTTTGTAATGGCTCAGCCATTCCCAATCCCTATTTAACCCTGAGTTGATTGTGTCTAGTTTGCATATCAATTCCAGCTCAGCAGTCTCTCGTTGGAGTCTGTTTTTGAAGTTTTTCTGTTTTAAGATAGCCACCTGCAGGTCTGTCATAGAATGGCCAGACAGGTTAAAGTGTTCTCCCACTGGTTTTTGAGTATTATGATTCCTGATGTCAGATTTGTGTCCATTAATTCTTTTGCGTAGAGACTGTCCGGTTTGGCCAATGTACATGGCAGAGGGGCATTGCTGGCACATGATGGCATATAGCACATTGGTAGATGTGCAGGTGAACGAGCCCCTGATGGTATGGCTGATGTGATTAGGCCCTATGATGGTGTCACTTGAATAGATATGTGGACAGAGTTGGCATCTGGCTTTGTTACAAGGATAGGTTCCTGGGTCAGTGTTTTTGTTCAGTGATGTGTGGTTGCTGGTGAGTATTTGCTTTAGGTTGGGGGGTTGTCTGTAAGCGAGGACAGGTCTGCCTTGATCCCTTGCTTGTTAGGCAGACAGAGCTGTGAAAGCAATTTGTGAGGCCCTTGAAATCATCACTTCTTTGATACCTTTTTCCTTTTCCTTTCTTGTCATTTTGTGGCTGACTGAAATAAGTTAGGAAATCTTTTTGTGCAGCAGCTTGGGACAACCTAAAATCTACTGTGGACAAGCGAAATGTAATTGCTTCCTGTCACACACTGCTGATCTGCACTTAAGATGCCTGTGTTTCTCTGCTGACCAGGCAGTTCTGCTCGACACTGGAAATGAAAACTGGCCTGCCCTAGGTTTTGTTCACTGGGCCCTCTACTTGCTAAATTCTCCCTTGAGTTTTCTAGTATCACATTATTTATAGAGTGCACATATCGGACTTTTGTATGTCCTTGACTTGTCAAGTACACATTGGGGAACAACTGCTGTTCAGTGCCATTTATTGTACATGGGGAAACTAAGGTGGAAGGTCAGTCTTTTTCAGATGTACTAGTCAGTCATGTAGTCAGTCATGACACCCAAAATTTGAAGTGGAAGTCAGATCAGAAGCTTGTTTCTGGGATTGGTGATTGAAAAGCAACCACACAACATAGACTAGTGATTATTTTTGTCCCAATTGAGTTTGTGGATAAGAGGCAGCAACAGCAGTGTCTCTGTTCTCCTCATCCCCAGCATAAAGTCTTAAAGTCACAGAGCAGGATGGATTGATTTTAATCAGAGCAAATTGAATCACCGATTTTAACCATGATTTCAATCAGCAAGCAGGAAACCTTGATTTAAATTATTTAATCTTGTTTTGCATTTCTACTTTTTGATTATTCGCTTAGAGAGGTTGACTCTTGGTTGTTAACCGTTAAAACACATTGAATTAATTATAGTCTTTACACTAAATACTTTTTTGCTGACCAGGAGGATACACTCTATCTATATAGTTATATATCTTAACATACATCTATTCAGATTCTTGTCTTACTTTTTTATGTTAGATAATGCTGAATGATGCATTTCCTATTTATTAAATTTTTTATTCAAGCTCTATTTGTATGGAAATTGGAATTCAATTAAAAATGCACAAATGATATTTAATTAAATAAAACTTAAATGCGCTGGATAAATTTTTTTCTTATTAAAACATGATTTTCATTTACAATTGATTTATTAAATGAAAAGTATTATCCACACTGAATTGAGCTGGAGACCATGTCCTTCATGAGTTTAGAGCTAGTAGATTTTATCTTCTTATACCTAGTTTTTATTCATAGAATGGAGGAAAGAAAACAATGTTTCCTACATTTTCAACTCACAGTTGGCTTCATTTGAGCAAACTAGTCGTTGAGCTGAACTAGTGGAATAAGATGAAATGAAGAAAATACTCTTTTTGCACAGGCAGAACAGGCTACTACTTTCAAAAGCTGGTTTATGTGTTCAACAAACTCTGGTTCCATGTGCATAGCCAGTGACTTCCGCCAGTTCAGTGCTTTGACTTTCTTTAAAACTTGGCAGCAAACGTACTACTAAATATTTTGAAATTATTTTAATAGTTAGCAACAGAGAGTCCTGTGGCACCTTTAAGACTAACAGATGTATTGGAGCATACGCTTTCGTGGGTGAATGCCCACTTCGTCGGATGCATGTCATCCGACGAAGTGGGCATTCACCCACGAAAGCGTATGCTCCAATACATCTGTTAGTCTTAAAGGTGCTACAGGACTCTCTGTTGCTTTTTACAGATCCAGACTAACACAGCTACCCCTCTGATACTTTAATAGTTAGGTGACGCTTTGACATAGATTGTCATAATTTTCAAATTTAATATTAAATAGTTTTATTTTAGATTTTTAAAAGAAGAAATCTGATGATTTTATTGTTTACCCATCCTGGAGCAGAGGCTCTACCACAAACCCATATTCACTTAAGAATCTTCTCCCTTTCCATCCCAGTCTTTTAACAGGAAAGCATAGTTGTCTCTGAATCTGGAGTGGTGTTTGGATTTTTAAGTGATGAGAAAAGTACATAACAAGTAATAAGTGAACTGAATGACAAAACATAAGTCCAACCATGCAAGATACATACTGTACAAATATGTCTAGTGTTCAACACAACTTTATTTTTACAAGACTTAATTTTGTCTACCAAAAAAAAAAAGACCAAATTTCTTTTTGGGCACATAACTATAACATTCAGAGTACAAATTAATAAATCATTTAAAAAAAATAAATTAAAAAACCCTAACATGGACTACAATAACAGGTTTGCTGATTCAGAAGCTAGTAATTAAAGCCATTCTCATGAGAGAAGATAGCCTTGACATCTAAGATTGTGGGTAATGAATGGGAGGGTAAATCTTTTGGGGGACATGGAGAAATCCTTGCCAGTTGCCTGGATTCAGGTAAGCACTGAGTCATTGTAATTATGAAGCTGTAGTCCACTGGAATCACAAACTACTTGTTTCACTACCTTGTTGAGTGTCTTATAGTTAATTTTTCAGTGCAGAAGGCCTGAGACCTGATTCTCCACTGCCGCCTTCCCTCAGTAGTCACTTACATCAGTGCAGCTATGTTAACAAATTAGATTTCCCACTCAGTTACAGTAGTGGTAGCACTATATATTCCCTCTGCATAGGTGTAAATTATTACCCAAGGTGTAATGCAGTAGAGAATTGAGACCCTAGTGTCTATAGGGTACATGAGAGCTGCATAGGAAAACACATTTTTATGTCCTAAACTAAACAATGATCTGGAAAAGAAGGAATTGTGGGTCTACAAGTTATTTTAAAAGGATGAAGTAATCTTCCATTTTCTCTATTTAACTTCTTCAGCTGTTATATGAAATTACCCTGTCTCTTTTGGCAAAAAGAAATATTCATCTTAAAAGTTTATAATACTGTGTACCTTTATCGAGAGTCTAACTATTCAACTTTATTTTCTGTGTCTTTTTAATTTATGTTCTGGAATTGTCTGGTTTTTTAATTACTGTCTGTGATTGAACTAGAACAATATAAGGTTAAAACAGATTTTTCTTTTCTAATAGACTGTTATAAGTACCATTAAGCATAGGTCAAGTTCTGACACCCATGGCTTTTAATAGCTTACAGCACATCTGGGATTTGTTGTTTTAACCATAAAATGTTGTGTAATTGCCAAAATACAAGTCACATATCATCCAGCAATTATAATCAATATTCAGAATTCTGGTTATACCTACTAAATGAACCAACACCATGTTATGGTGGTTGCCTCTTTTTTCCCTCCAGTCATGGATAATAGCAACAAAACACATTTTGGGGATTACAAACATCTAGCATTTGTACTCTTACCTGCTTTACATATAAACTGCTTGCATATAAGCTGAACATATAAGATTTAAAAATCTTTATATCCAGTAGATGAAACTGGCACTAAAATCTGTGCTTTATTATGAAAAGCCTAGTGCATCTCCAAAATATGATTGCATGTAGCTTCCAGCTTCCATTATAAAATCCTATTTAAAACTCCCCCACATCAATAACTCATCAAACCCAAAGAAAAGCAGTTTGTCCAAGATTGCTATATTTACTCTAACAAAGGTAAATGTTTCCGAGAAAACTGGCCAAACTGTCTTTGCATTACACGTCTCTTTTAAGTACCCTGATTTGAAACTACTAACTACTGTCTCCATGTTCCTCAAAAATAGTTTGTCACTATTTCTTATGACTTTCCTTAAGGTTAAATTTGTGCACCAGATATACACCTCTACCCCGATATAACGCGACCCGCTATAACACGAATTCGGATATAACACGGTAAAGCAGTGCTCCAGGGGGGTGGGGCTGCGCACTCCGGTGGATCAAAGCAAGTTCGATATAACACGGTTTCACCTATAACGCGGTAAGATTTTTTTGGCTCCCGAGGACAGCGTTTTATCGAGGTAGAGGTGTACTTTAAAAAAATAGGTTGTAATTGAAGCAATGTTACTTAATGATTTTTGTTGTAGTTAGCTTTGAGGCCTCATCCTACCCCTTTTGAAATCAGTGAGGAGTTTGCCGCTCGCTTTAGTGGGAGCAGCACTGATCATGGTAGACTTGGTTCTCTACTGCCTTGCACTTTATGTACTGATTTTACACTTATGCAAAGCAAGTGTGTGTGCGTGGGGGGTGGGGGAAGAGACAACACTGTTCTGATTTGGTACTTTCCTTGTATACTTCGCCACATATGGAATAGAAGTTTGAGTGTATAGGCTTGAGTTCAGTGCATGGATGCACAGTTTTAATTCCATGCCCGTCTATTTATATCATGTAGGCGTGCTGTTTTTCCTGCAGTGATTGGAAAAAAGGTGTGTGCTTTTCCTTCTTCCATCCTGACTTTCTGCAGGGTATCAAGGGTTGCAGCAATAAAGGGAAGCTGGTGGTCACACAAATGCAGTAAATGGAAACTATATAAAATCTTTGTTTTTTACAGGAACTATATGCAAAATGTCTTCTCGATGGAGCTGGGTGATGAATGCTTTATATATTTCCCTGAGCGTTTGCTCTCTTGGAGGTAAGACTAAATGAAAATGTTGGACAGGTCATGGACTTATTAGAGCAGCTAGCTGTTGCTAATGATGATTATGTTGCAGTAGTGCCTAGTGGTCCCAATGAGGAATTAGGGCACTATTGTGCTAGCTATTTGTAGAAACAAATAATCCAAAGAGACAGAGTTCTCACTCAATTATGGCTACTGGCATTGATGTCCTTTTAGCCAGCTGATCTCAAAAAAACAAATTAAAATTAGTTCCAGGTACTGCACCTGAAGCTCTGTGGTCACATTTTCCTATGGTCTCTCCCTTGTTGCTGTGGGAAGAGCAAAGCAAAAGGCAGAAATTGACTATACAGAGGCAGCACTGGAACAGATTAGACACAGTGCTGTCAAATGCACAGAGTTAATAAACTGGAAAAATAGATGTTTCTTAAAACTGCCAATTATCGCAGCCTTCTTTAACATATAACATTCTAGGTAAAACATTCATACATGTAGAATTCCTCACCTTAAATTACACATCTAAGAATGAAATAAAGGAGAGATTGAGCATTAGTTTTTGGAGGCACTTCCTTCTCTGAATTATACCTCTTAAAGAGTGCAGTCTGAAAGTACTTTTATCCCAAAGATATGGTGTTCTTCCCCATTTATAATTTTTGTGTCTTTTTTTGCACCACCATCTTCTATCTGATGGATAACAGATGCTGTTATTGATTAGATCTTTTATTTTTTGTCTCATACTGTAATTTTCTGTTTCCATGTCTGCTTGGTTTTTCACCTGTTGTTCTTTCTTTCCTTTGTCCTCCTGTTTTCACTCTGTCTCTGTTCTCCCACCTTCCTACCTTGCAGACACAAATTTTGTGTTTTATCTCCCAAAAAAACAGCCTCTAATGCAGGAATGCTGTCCTGCGTAGTTGGCTACACTAATGCAGCACCTCTGAGTGCTTTGCTCCCTACTTTGCCCACATGCTTCCGGCAAAGGAAGGTGAAGCTGCAGACTGGGTCACTAGATGTGACATAGTGGTTCTCAGGCAGGCTGGCTCACTCATAACCACCGCTTCCTCTTCAGGAAAATCGAGAGTGATACCCCAGTACATCTCTTCAGTGGGATAATTTATGTGGTGTCATTCATGGATGCTAAGTAGCAACTTTAAATCTGTAATTCTTAGACTAGTGATCTATTAATTTATGCTTAATTTGCATACTAAATAACTGAACAGATTAAAAAAAGTGGGTTTGTAACTCATTCCCTTTAGTATCTGAGGCCTACGATAGTATATGTAATCAATAAATCCTGTGCCGGTTGTGGTAATTCTTACATTGTTTCTGCATTTTAGTACCCAGATTGTTTGTACTTTTCTCTCTCTTCAGTAGAGATCTTAATTATTTTAGGCTCACAATTGTGAGAGTCATGAAGCGTTCCCTTCAAAAGAAGGGAATTAACGTGAGTCAACAGAAAATGCCACATTGAGTGATTGCACATGTCAATTCCACGGTCGGTGTGCGCGTTCCAGTGCAGGGTTTTCAGTTTTTCCCTTTAGCAGTGCCCATCGGGGCGGCATGAGTGTCATCTGGTGTCTCACGCACTGCATGCCGGCATTAAGGGCAGAGCCACCTGCAGCCTCCCATGACGGTTGTTGGAGCTCCCTTTCCTTGAATCTGCAAGTCTTCAGTTGAACATATAAATAGTACACGTTGTATAGTTAGTGTAGTTTTAGTAGTTAGTTGATTAGTGTTTTAAAAAAAATTGTTGTTTTGATTACCAGCCCTGTTACCAGAGAGATGCCTCACTCTCTGGGTATCAAGCCCTGTGGTAAGGTAATACCTGATAGCGACCTTCACCCCAGCTGCTTTAAGTGCTTGGGGAAGGCTAACATGAGTGACCAATGTGGCATTTGTAAGGGCTTTAAGCCCCATTACAAAAAAGACAGGGCAACTAGATTGAAATATCTGCTTCTAGAATTGGCACTACATCCTCTTATCTGAGACATCTACTTAGGTCCGAGTACCGAGCACCTTGGCGTCGCTCCGTAGCACACCTCCAGTGTTACTAGTACCGCAGGGCAGGTTGGCATTGCTGATACCAAAGAAGAGGCATAAGAAACTGACTCTGTACCGGGATCATTGAAAGAGGTGAAGAGGTCAAGCTCTAAGGAATCATGAGGGCATTCAAAGCGGACACACTCCCCAGAGTACACCTCTAAGTGCTGGAGTTTGATTCTAGAGCCCAGTACGGGTCTGCAAGACTGGCTCCCGAAACACCCTCGTTGAGATTACCTCACTGTTTTCCCAGTACCATCTGCTCCTGAAACAATTGAGGCTGCAAGAAAGTTGTTCAAGCTCTTGGTGCTGCTGTCACCAGCAGTTCAAAAGACTTGCCGGGCACCCAAGGTACTGATGTCAGTGGCTTCACCTCTGCACTGCACAGTTCTAGCTGATTCATCCATCAGGGTATCGATTAAAGTGGTACCGTTTAGGGGAAAGCCACAGATGATCTCCCCAGTTCCCCTTCAGAGTCTGAACCTTCTTCACCGGTATTGATGGGTACAGCACCACCTTGGTTGCAGGAAGTCATTATCTTCACTGGACTCTGAAGAAGTGTGTCCCAACCTATCTGATCCCACTGTTGGGTTATACCACCTACCCGCCCTGATTTCAAACTTAGTACTAGTAAGGGGGTTATTGAAAGGACCCTGGGACCATTCACCTTTGGGAACCAAGGCCATAACAGTGGCCCTTTTGGAACTGGTGGGAGTTCACCCCCCCTCCCCCAATCAAGAGCATCCCTGCAGCTACCTCAGCTGGGTCTATCTACTGGCTGTCTAGAATCAATGCTGCAAGCACCCTAGGGTCAGTGCCAAGCTTGGCACCGAACAGATTTGAGATCCCTCTCATGAGCAGCCACAAGAGGAGCAGGAACTGGACCAGCCCTCAGTACCATAGGCATCCTCTTCGTCATCCCCTGATGAAGCAGTTGTAAGTGAGCTTCAGACTTTTATGTTGGAGCCTCTTGTACTCAGTTTTTCAAAGACAAAGTGGCCCTAAGGTGGTATCCAAATTTATGTCAAAAGTTGTTTTGCAGTTTCACTTTAACCAAGTGATTTACTTGCCAATAATCTTTCCTAAACTATATTTGAATTCACATGAACAACAACTTCAGATGTTGGAGGTGAGACGATGTCTGGCATATTTCTTAGAGGGGACTAATCCTTTTTCAGGTCTCTCCTCAACTTTTTGTCTCCTATGAAGGGTCAGACAATCTCTTTGCAGACTACTTTCAAATGGCTCCTGCATTACCATGGCATATGAAGTATCTTATTCTGTGCCCCACAGACATTACAGTCTCATTTGAGATCCCAAGCAACATTGACTGCATTACTCACCAATATTTCAATATTGGACATTTGCAGGTCTGCGATATGGTCTTCAGTACATGCTTTTACCAAACGTTATGCTGTTTCTGCAGCATCTCTATCAGATGCAAACTTTGACAAGGCAGTTTTAAAGTCATTGTTGAAATGGACTCTGAGCCCCACCTCCTACAAGTACTGCTTGTGAGTCACTTGAATGGAATACACATCTGCAGCCATTCGAAGAAGTAAAGACAGTTCTGTAACTGTTGTTCTTCAAGATGTGGGTCCAGACATGTATTCCCCAACCCATCCTCCATCCCCCCCTGCATCAGAGTCTTTGCCCTTGATGTTCAGTGCAAAGGAATCGAGAAGAGTGCTGCTCTTAAATAGCCTGGGGAGGGGCTAATGTCCACAGGCCACAAGCGCTGACCCTATGGATATGGCTAGGCAAAGTTCTTTGGCTTCAGTGTACTGGGCGCACACATTCCGGAGTGGAATACGTGTCTGCATCCACATCTCAAAGACCAGCAGTTACAGAATAGGTAAAATAGGTAACTACTTTTTTGTGATTAGTTGTATGAAGTCCACTGGCTTCCTAGTGAGAAATATAGATGACCTCCATATGCCCCATGATTGGGCTTTGCTAGCTGGTCACCAGTTGACTGACTCAGAAAAACAAAAGTTCTTTTGTTTGGTTCATTACATGTCCTGGGGAATTTAGTATGGCAAATAACTGCTCAGTGGGAATCTAAACAGATATGGATTGTATTCATTATTTTAATGAATATATATTCCATTCATTTCAATATACTATATCAGGGTGGGCAATAATTTTCGCAGGGGGCCACTCCATGAATCTTGGTAAGTTGTCATGGGCCGTACATTTCTACTATATTAATGGAGGGAGTGCGGGGTCTGGGAGGGAGCTTGAGTGCAGGAGGGAGGGAGCTTGAGTGCAGGAGGGAGGGAGTTTGGGTGCAGGAGGAGGTTCTGACCTGGGGCAGGGGTTTGGGGTGTGGGAGGTGGTGCGAGGTGCAGGCTCAGTCTGGGAGGCACTTACCACAGGCGGCTCCCGGCTGGCGGCGCAGCAGGGCTCAGGCAGGCTGAGGGTCAGCGGGTCTCCGTGTGCTGCCTGCGCCCACAAGCACCGCCCCTGCAAGGAAACCAGCCAATGGGAGCTGTGAGGATGGTGCTGGGGCAGCACATGGAGCTGCCTCCCCCACCACCAGGGGCGTGCAGAGACGTGCCAGCAGCAGCCGGCTGCTTCCGGGAGCAGCGTGGGGCCACAGCAGGCAGGCAGCCTGCCTGAACGCCCCGCTGCACCGCAGGACTTTTAGCAGCCCAGACTCAGAGAACACGAGGGGGCAGAGAAGGCCTGACAGAAATGTTAGTCATGGCTGTATTTTGCCCACTCCTGTGCTAGATAGAGATTCATTAAAAGAAGAGAAAAATAACTCCTGAATTTCCTAAAAATATGATTGTTGTGGTAATTGCTGCTCAAGCAACTTTTTTTGGTGGGGTGAGGGGGGAGGACTGAATAATTTCAGAAGTCACGTTTTTGATAGAGCACCTTTTAAAATAGTAGATACAGAATTTTTATAATGGGTATTTTTTGTTGTTGTTTACAAAGGTCTTTCCAGCAGTGGGGAGAGGATGAGTGTAGGAGAAAAAACAAAGATAATTAAGCATCCTATCTTTAATCTCATTTTCTCTGTCTCTGTCATTTCAGTTCCAGTTCTTCTGTTGTTACTGGTAACATGCTCTTGCAATACCTGAGGAAGAGTATGCACAGTAACTTCCCCTAAATCAGTGCATGAGTGATTTGCTCGTGCTAGTGCATTAGACAAGAAATACACTTGACCTGCACAATACAGTGTAACTGTCTATACACACATACTGCCAGATGCACAAAATAGTCTTCACAAATATTTTTCCTAATCTTTCAGTAGCAGTAGTGTTAAAGATTATTTGTAACAATAGTAATACAAAGATTTCATATGGAAATGTGATATTTCAAATTGATTTTATCCCTTTTAGTTTCAGGTGGACTTGTACAGTCATGTGGTTACATCATCCCAGAGTCTCCAGTGTTGACCCTTGGCTCCAATTTTACAGCATTGTGCATTCTCAATGAGAGTTGTCTTGACTTTGGCAATATACATGCCAATCAGATTATTTGGAAAATCAAAAATTCTGTAGTGCCTAAAGAACAATACCGTGTAATAAACAGAACTGTTTCCAGTGTCACATTTAGTGACACCTCTACTTTAGCTACTCCTCTGACATGCAACGTTTTAGCAGATGGACAGATTGAGCAGAATATCTATGGAATTGCAGTTACCCTGGGCCGTAAGTAGCTTTTTATTCCTCTCTTTTTCTTCTTTGGACATCATAAATTTCCCATTAAATGTTTATGTATAGAGAGATACTGTATAATGTTGGCAAGTTTCCATTTTCTTCTCTGCCTTGTAGAAAATGTTTTTCAAGGACATTTTGGTGTATCCTCTTAACCCTTCTTCCTCTGGAACAATTGTACAAAAAATCTCCCAAAGCTAAACACACAGAACAAATGAAAGTACTTTGAAAAAGATGATCCACAAAGCAGAAAATACATTAAGTATTTCATATATGTAAAAGGGTACCAAGAGAACTGCACATGCATGAAGCTCTGTGAAGAAAATGTGAACGTGTCACAATGAAAATGGTATCTCTTAGAAATCATTGAGCTGATGAAGGGCTTGATAGAAAGAATGTGGTTCTTGAAGAGTCTTATTTTTCTAAAGCATATTTTTAATGATTGTGTCTCATTCTCACAATATCTGTTTGGGTTTTAACTTATTTTTTTTCCTTTTTAATAATGTTCATAAAACTTCATGTTCAATTTCTGATGGGGTTATCAACAGACGTGCTTTTCATCACGTTCACAGCTGTCAAAATTGCATATTATCCTTGGAATGCAGTAGTTGTAGAAAGAAAGTATTCTTGGGAAATTATATTGCAACACCACGAATAGCAATCCTCTGGAAGTTTGTGGTAGGAGACTAGAATATTTCTAACATATATAAATGAGAAATCCAACTCCAAGGTTACTTAGCTCAGCCATGCGCGGAGTACCATGTTGTCTGTCTTAGTACTTGCAAAATGATGAAGAACAAAATGTAGTGCAGAAAACACATGCTTAGGCCCCAAACAATAAAAATATCTGGAGATTAGGTGTGGGCTCTCTATATTGGGATGAATTTTACCCATTTTTACCCATTCTGCACATGGTATCTTGTGTATGTGAGAGAACCTATCTATAGTAATAAGCCATTATGATCTGTTAACATCTTCATAGCTTAAACTCCTGAAATATTATCAATACTACAGCAATGTGTGGTCTCTTATTTCTTCCTTTTCCTTCACAAACCGATCTGCTGCCTCACTACTCCCGTTGCTGCCTTCCATTCCAGTGCATTCTGTGCTAGCCTTCTAGGCCTTGTCCTGTCTCAAATTTCATTCCATCCCCAAATCATATGCTTTCTGTTCAGTGATGACTCCTACCACTACAGACTTTTTTTCTCAAGGCATCTATGCATTACACTTCACTAGATATTCTCTATCTCCTAATATTTAGCATTTACTAAATGCAGTAGTAAATAAATTGTTTCCCATTTTAACTAAATTACTCTTGCAACAGTGTATTCATTGCTGCTTTCATTGGAATCAAATGTATGTGCACATAAATTACATATAGTAACTTTTTTCATACAGTGCCCCCAGAGAAGCCTGAAAATTTGAGTTGCATTGTGCGTCAGATGTCAAAAACTAAATTTATTATGACTTGTACCTGGAATCCTGGAAGGGATACGTTCCTAGCTACTGATTTCCGTTTAAAATCTCAATGGTAAGTATCTTGTCTAAGCTTTATGGTATATCCCATCTTAATCATTTTTAGAGTTTTGCATGTAGGCTAAATAAAACTGTTCCAATACTTTAAGATTGTTAAACTTTTTAAAAGAATATATTTTGTTAGACTGTAAATTTAGACTTTTGAGGCTGCTGTAGCCTGTTTCAGGGTAAAACATTTGACAATTCAAGTTTGTCCTACAGTTTAAGATTTTAAACTTAAGCAAATAAAATGATTTTTTTCCCAAGACCGAGAAAGTGCAGGGAAGAGAGTCTTGTACAGATCTCATTGGTATTAAGCTATTGTACAGCTTGAACCAGATTCTGCATCAGTTATGGGTATTTCTGTGGCAAGCATCGCTGTAACTGATGCTGAACAGGTAAATAAATCTGAATGGTGATAGTCCAGTGGCTTATGTTCTTTACCCTTGAAGACAGCTTTTTTGGTTGGATGTCTGCTTTTTTTTATTATTATTATTATTATTTAACCTTGATTCTGATTATGGTGGGAAAGCTGTGAGCTGCTCACATTGCTTCTTCTCTCCCACTGGTGTTACTTCAGTCTTGCTTAGGTTTAGTTTGAACCAGCCAATTGCTTTGCATCCAGGAGTTGGTATCTCTTTTAACTGTAACTAAACTTCTCAAGGTAGGCAATGGTAATATCTGTTCAAAATTAGGTGAAAGCTGGGTGGTGTGGGTGTCGTCAATGAATTGTTCGCTACAGGGTCCATTGCATGTCTCAACCTCTTCAGGAGGTCTCATGTAGATTACTGGGGTGGATGCAAGACTCCCCAGCTGATCAGTTTTAGGGAAGAGGAATAGATTCCCATCCCAATTCTGGGTAGCTTTTGAAAAGAATTGAAGCCATTGTGGTGATGTGTTGTCTACTGCAGCTGTGTCTTGTAAGCAAGTCAGCGGCACCTTGTTGCTGTGTTGAAAGCTGCAGAGAAGTAAAGCAGTGCAAGCACTGAAGTTTTATGGCAATGAATATACACCATAGGTCATCCATTAGAGCTTCTAATATTGCCTGGAGCTTGGGTCCCTTTCATGTTATACCTATCACTTTACCTGAAGGAAGAGGTCTCTGTAGCTCAAAAGTTTGTTTCCTTTACCAACAGAAATTGGTTCAATAAAAGATATTCTCTCATCCACCTTATCACTTTACAAAAAAGTTATGTATTTTAATTCCATAACTAAGGATGGGTTGGGCTTCTTGTTAAGGCATGGGACTTGGATTTGAAAGACCAGTGTTCTGGTCCCAGCTTTGCTGCAGATTTACTGTATGACATGGGCTAGATTCATTCCTTTTTAAAGCACTTTGAGATCTTTGGATAGAAAGTGCTTCGTATAAATGCAAACTACTGCTTTATTTTAACCTTGCTTTTTCTTTAACTCTCAATTTAGGCCACTAGAAACCTTGTCTGACTGCGAACCACAAGGTGTAAATAACTCTTGTGACATTTCCAATGTTCAGTTTTTTGTCAACCTGGAGGTCTGGGTGGAAGCTAACAATGCCCTTGGGAAGGCTGAATCTGAGCACATTGATTTTGATCCTGTGGACATTGGTAACTATATGCTTTAATTAAGATCCTGAAGTACTGAAGAATTGCAATAGAACTAATTGTTACTGCTCTGAATGTTGTTGAACTAGGGTGTAGATGCTGTTTCTATATTGTAAAATACTTCAAGCTGTTGGCAACAGTAGTTCTGTGCTCAGAAAAGTAGTATACTATGGACTAGATCCTGAGCAGTGCTGGGCAGAGGTCTTGATGTGAAAGGTGATTCTGATTTTTCTCTCCCCACCTCACTCCAGATCTTTGGGGGGGAGGGGGAGGGGGAGGGGAGAGGAAGAGAAGCAGCCTGCTACCCAGCCAATTTCTAATGTAAAGTGTAGCAACCAATTGCACCTACCAATTCCCACCCCAAAAAAGCCTTTCTGGCAGCCAGTTATTACCAGAGTAGAGTCATGTCTTCACTGGGACTGGAGGGGTGCCATAGGAACCATTATAGTATAGTCCCCTAGGCAGGGGTAGTACTACTCCAGCCATGTTTATGCAGCTGTAAGAAGGGCTAGAATCTGGCCTTTCATTTCTGAAAGGTGGAAAATTTATAGACCTCATTATTCAGCTTTTCCGCAATACATTATCTCCTCCAAAGAAAGAGCACTCTCCAGGCATCTGGTACTGTCAGTGAGTAGTCTAGACCAGGGGTGGACAAACTTTTTGGCCTGAGGGCTGCATCGAGTTTCTGAAATTGTATGGAGGGCTGGTTAGGGGAGGCTGTGCCTCCCCAAACAGTCAGGCGTGTCCCAGCCTCCCCCACCATCCGACCGCTGGACACCCCCACACTTCTTGCTCCCTGACGGGGGGCCCCCCCCCGGGGACTCCTGCCCCATCCAACCCCCCCGTTCCCTGACGCTCCCCCCGCTCCCTGTCCCCTGACTGCCCCCCCAGGACCCCTGCCCCCATTCAACCCCCCTGTTCCACGCCCTCTGACCGCCCCAACCCCTATTCACACTCCCGACCACCACCCCAAACTCCCCTGCCCTCTATCCAACCCCCCCGTTCCCTGCCCCCTTACTGTGCTGTGTGGAGCAGCGGTGGCTGGTGGTGCTACAGCTGTACTGCCCGGCTGGCGCCAGCCACATCACCGCACAGCACAGAGCACTGGGTCAGGCCCCGGCTCTGCAACTGCGCTGCCCCAGGAGCTCACAGCCCCGCTGCCCAGAGCATTGTGCTGGCGGTGCAGTGAGCTGAGGCTGCAGGGGAGGGGGGACAGCAGGGTAGGGGCCGGGGGGTAGCCTCTCGGGCCAGGAGCTCAGGGGCCGGGCAGGAGGGTCATGTGGGCCGGATGTGGCCCGTGGGCTGTAGTTTGCCCACCTCTGGTCTAGATAATAGCAAAGAGAAATGAACTTGTAAACCAATAAAAATATGCCAGGTATATTAAATACCATACTTCATGCTATACATATGAATTAAACAGTACAGCACTTGGATAATTCAGTACTTTCTCATTCTCTTCTAGTGAAACCTCTACCTCCACACAACTTAGCAGTCAATTCAGGAGAACTACCCACTGTCTTGAAACTGTCATGGGAGAACCAAATTTCACTTGTTGAGATGGAGCTGAAATTTAATATTCGATACAGGATCAGTGACAGCCCAGACTGGATGGAGGTAACCTTATTTTAAATGTTTTAGTGACTTCTTGTGCACTCTCCCACACTAATCCAGAGTCTCCATTCAGCATCATGTGCAGCCGAAGCTCATCTGTTGCTTCAATGCCCTTCCTTGGTACTATATAAGCCATGCTTTCCTCAGTGTATTGCTACCTCCAGAAGTACTGCTTTACTGCACGACATAAATTATTTCTCTTCAGTGATGTTTATTTTGGGGTGTAGGGGGTGTTCCGTCCCATTATGTATTGATACCTATGACTGCTGATAGCCTTTCTCTCATTTAGTTCGCCTCTTTACTGCTCTTGGGAAGGGACTCTCAGTGGTTTCTTAGCTCTGAGCCTGAGCAGACCTTTGAGGAGAAAGAGGCAAGGATGGACAAGAAGGTGACCTCCCCCCCCTTTTACAAACATTTCATTGTCACCTGACAAGGCAGTAATGCCACCACTATCATTGGCTGATGACTTTAGGCTATTCCAGTAATGAAGTGATGAAGCAAGTCACTGGCACCTTGCAAATTTCCCTGGAAGAAGTCCAGTATTCCCATTGCAAGCTCCTGGACATATTGCACACCTCTGCCTCAGCCTGGTGGTACTGCCAATTACTAAAGCCCTCCTAGAGTCAGCCAAGAACAGCTGGCAAACTCCAGTAATAGCCCACCACCACTACCCCCACTACATGCAAGCAGGTTGTTAGAATCCCTGGCTGGGACATGGTATCTTTTGAGTTTTTATTCTCTCACCCAGCACCAAATTCTCTGGTTGTGGATGCAGTCGATGAAAGGGGCACGCAACATATTCAGAAACCTCCCCTTATAAGGAGGACCAGAAACGTCTGGACCTTTTTGGTCGTAGGTGTTACTCTTCAGCAACATTACAGTTTACAGGTCAGGATAGCTAATCACAAAGTGCTGATGTCGAAATATGACTACCTGAACTATGAGTAGTTCAATGCTTTATTGACCATTTGCCAAAGAAACGTCGAGAACAGTACATCGCCATAATAATGGAGGGTCAGTTCTTGGCAAAAACACTGCAGTTTTCTCTCGATGCAACAGACACTGAAACCTGGTCTGTTTCCACCACAGTAGTGATGACGTGAGCTTCCTGGCTTCAGTTGTCTGGGTTTCCCCAAGAGAGACAATCCCCAGTGGAATATTTACCTTTCGATAGCAGAAGCTTTTCACAGATTCCACAGACTACTCACTTCATACCCTGAAGGACTCTGTGACAACACTTCAGTCTTTAGGATTATACACACCTGTACAAAAGAGGACGTTTAGCAGGTCTCAGTCAGCACAAAGATTCTGCTCTGCGCAATTTTCTGCCTACCATAGGCCACCAGAAAAACCAGCTAAGAGGTCAAGATTTTCAAAGAAAAAGCCTGAGGCTGCCTTGACTGCTTCATCCTAGTCTCCAGCATTGTCCAAACACCAGTTTTGTTTGGACAACAAGCGTCCAGGCCACCCAATGATCAGGTTTTCACAGCTGCATGACACAACTCCCCTTCCTCATTTTGGGCACCTCCTGTCTCTCTTTCATCAAGCATGGGAGGCTATAACATTGGACAAATGGATATTGGAGGCCATTACTTTGGGTTATGCTATCCAATTTACCTTCAACCTGCCCTTCCACCCTCCTTCCCTGTCCCTCTTCAAGAACCCTATATTTTCTCCTTTATTTTAAATATTTTTTTTCTCACAACAATAGGGAATGAACAGCATTTTTAAAGAACAAAAAAATGATGGGTACGACCACTAAAAACTAGTTGGGAGATTTGGCAACTGATCTAGTGTCTGAAACTATTTAACTCACTTTTTAAAAATTTACTAGAGTTCAGGTTGTGCGATCCCTTAGGCTATATCTATGCTACCACTTTTGTCGATATAACTTTTGTTGCTCAGGAGTGTGAAAAAATGCACCCCTGAGCGACATAAGTTAGCGCTGACCACACTGGCGCATCTGTCAGTGTATGTCGGTGGGAGACCTTCTCCCACTGACATAGCTACCGCTGCTTGTGCAAGTGGTTTTCTTATGTCGACAGGAGCGATCTTACAGCAGCGCAGCTGCATCGCTACAGCTATGCCACTGTAAAATCACTAGTGTAGACTAGTGTAGATGCATCACTAGTGTAGATGCATCACTCAGATGATGTGAATGAAACAGTCTGTAGTCATTTTCACTTTCAGGTATTCACAGTGCTAGTCTACCTTGCAATATTATTTCAGATGCTTTCTTTTAGAACTTCTACCCTCATTAGAAATCTTTCCACAACACTCCTGCTGAGTTTAAAGTGTGTGTGTGTGTGTGTGTGTGTGTGTGTGTGTGTGTGTGTGTGTG